ATTTCATTTCATTCTGCTCTAATTTGTATTATTTCCTTTCTTCTGTCGCCCGAGGGCTTCTTTTGCTGCTCTCTTTCTCCTTGTTCCAGTTGTAGGGTTAATGTTTTGATTTTGGCCCTTTCTTCTTTTTGGATGTGTGCATTTATTGCTATAAACTGACTTCTGAGCACTGCTTTTGCTGTGTCCCAAAGGTTCTTGTAGGATGTGTTTTTGTTCTTGTTTGATTCTATGCATTTCTTTATTCCATCCTTAATTACTTCTATAACCCAGTAGTTTTTTAACAAGGTGTTGTTCAGTTTCCATGTGTTTGACTTTTTTCCCCTTTTTCTGTTGTTGATTTCTACTTTTATGGCTTTATGATCAGAAAGGATGCTTTGTAATATTTTGATGCTTTGGATTTTGTTAAGGCTTGTTTTATGGCCAAATATGTGGTCTATTGTGGAGAATGTTCCATGTGCATTGGAAAAGAAAGTATTCTTGGCTGCTGTTGGGTGGAGTGTTTGGTATACATCTATGAGATCAAGTTGGTTGATTGTAACATTTAGATCTTCCGTGTCTTTGTTGAGCTTCTTTCTGGATGTTCTCTCCTTCACCGAAGGTGGTGTGTTGAAGTCTCCTACTACTATTGTGGAGCTCTCTCTCTTTTCAATGCTGTTAAGAGTTTTATGTATTTTGGAGCCCTGTCATTTGGTGCATATATATTTATTATAGTTATGTCCTCTGGTGTATTGACCTTTTAATCATTATATAGTGTCCTTCCTTATCCTTTGTGGTGGATTTTACTTTAAAGTCTGTTTTGTCAGGGATTAATATTGCCACTCCTGCTCTTTTTTGAGTTGTTTGCTTGATATATTTTTTTCCATCCTTTTAGTTTGTTTATGTCTTTAAGGTGTGTCTCTTGTAGGCAGCATATAGACGGATCATGTTTTTTAATCCAATCTGCTACTGTCTGTCTCTTTATTGGTGCATTTAGTCCATTTACATTCAGCATAATTACTGATAGGTATGAGTTTAGTAATGGCATTTTTATGTCTTTTTTTTGTGTGTTGTTCACAGTTTCTTTGTTCCACTTAATTTTCCGTGCTGAGTCGTTTTTCTTTATGTATTTTCTTTTCTTTTTCATTGTTGATTTTGTACTGGCTGAGTCTTTATATTTTCCTTGTTTTTATTTTGACTTATAGGATTGTTAGTTTCCTTTGTGGTCACCTTAATATTTACCCCTATTTTTCTAAGCTTATACCAGTCTTTTATTTATATCGCCTTGACTTCCTCTCCATATGAAAAATCTGCATCTACATTTTTTAAGTCCCTCTTTTTTGTTTTAATGTTGTCGTCTTTTACATATTGACATCTTTCCCTATTTTCAGTATGTTAGCTTTGATTTATTTTTGTGACTTCCCTATCTGGGTAGATATCTTGTTGCTCTGTCCTGTGTTCTTGTCTTGGGTTGTTATCTGATATTATTGATTTTCTAACCGGAGTACTCCCTTTAGTGTTTCATGTAATTTTGGTTTGGTTTTTGCAAAATCCCTAAACTTTTGCTTATCTGGAAATGCCCTAATTTTGCCATCATATTTGAGGAACAGTTTTGCTGGATGTATAATTCTTGGCTGGCAGTTTCTTTCCTTAAAGGCTTTATATATGTCATCCCATTGCCTTCTTGCCTGCATGGTTTCTGCTGAGTAGTCTAAACTTATTGACTCTCCTTTGTAGATGACTTTTCGTTTATCCCTAGCCACTCTTAAAATTCTTTATCTTTGGTTTTGGCAAGTTTGATTATGTCTTGGTGACTTTCTTTTGGGATCTACCTTATGTGGGGTCCAATGAGCAACTTGGATAGATATCTTCTCATCTTTCACGATATCAGGGAAGTTTTCTGCCAACAAATCTTCAACAATTCTCTCTGTATTTTCTATTATCCCCCGTCCCTCCTTTCTGGTACTCCAGTCACTTGTAGGTTATTCCTCTTGATAGAGTCCCACTTAATTCTTAGGGTTTCTTCATTTTTTTAAATTATTTTATCTGATT